ACCCATTACGCAAAGTAAGCATTTGCAGTATAGTTGATTTTGCCCAGGCGCTCTTGAGGCACTCTTGGGGGAAAATAGACCTTGACATATGCGAGTTGTAGTTACTGGGATGTATAGTTCACCTACAATCCAAGAGCATTCTGAACTCCACCAATGATGGAATTGAACCAAATATGGCACACAGAACTCCCATGACAAACAGAAAATATATATCAATGATTGATTTGTGGGGGGGGGCAAATTTCTATATTTGTTATTCTAGCTTCTTTGTGAATGTATCACAAGCTAGGATCTTTGGGTTGTTGTAGGTTTTTTCGGGCTATATGGCCATGTTCTAGAGGCATTCTCTCCTGACGTTTCGCCTGCATCTATGGCAAGCATCCTCAGAGGTAGTGAGGTCTGTTGGAACTAGGAAAATGGGTTTATATATCTGTGGAATGACCAGGGTGGGACAAAGGACTCTTGTCTGTTGGAGCTAGGTGTGAATGTTTCAACTGACCACCTTGATTAGCATTTGATGGCCTGGCAGTGCCTGGGGCAATCTTTTGTTGAGAGGTGATTAGATGTCCTGGTTAGGTTACCTCTGGGTTGTTGTAGGTTTTTTCGGGCTATATGGCCATGTTCTAGAGGCATTCTCTCCTGACGTTTCGCCTGCATCTATGGCAAGCATCCTCAGAGGTTGTGAGGTCTGTTGGAAATAGGGAAATGGGTTTATATATCTGTGGAATGACCAGGGTGGGACAAAGGACTCTTGTCTGCTGGAGCTAGGTGGGAACGGTTCAACTGACCACCTTGATTAGCATATAATGGCCTCCTAGAGCCATGATCGTGAACCTATGACACGTGTGTCAGCACTGACACGCGTAGCCATTTTCGATGACACACAGCCGCATACAGAGAAGATGGAGCCGCATCCCAAGAAGGACATTTCATCCTCGGCTCCTACGCCAGCATTTTTCTATAATGCCGAGATATATGGCATTATAGAAAAAGCAGGTAAGTTAAATAATTAGGTTTTGGTTTATTAAATACAGTTATTACCTATATATTACAATAATATATTTTTGTTATTAAACTATAAATATCATGAAATTATGTTTTTTTCTCCAAGTGACACTCCACCTGAGTTATGCTCTTTTTTTTGGCAAGTATTGACACACCAAGCTCAAAAGATTGCCCATCATTGTTCTAGAGGCATTCTCTCCTGACGTTTCGCCTGCATCTATGGCAAGCATCCTCAGAGGGAGTGAGGTCTGTTGGAAGTAGGAAAAAAGGGTTTATGTATCTGTGGAATAATGTCCAGGGTGGGACAAAGGACTCTTGTCTGCTGGAGCTAGGTGTGAATGTTTCAATTGACCACCTTGATTAGCATTTGATGGCCTGGCTGTGCCTGGGGCAGTCTTTTGTTGAGAGGTGATTAGATGCCCCAGAATCAAGGGCTTTGATTCTGTGTGTGCTAGACAGGGGCTGGACTTGATGGCCCTGGGGGTCTCTCCCAACCATATCACTCTTTGATTCCAACATACTGTAGCTATAGGGAAAACAAGCCCTATGAGGAGCGGCTTAAGGAGCTGGGCAAGTTTAGCCTTTGGAAGAGAAGGAGGAGAAGGGACATGATAGCCATGTATAAATATGTGAGAGGAAGCCACAGGGAGGAGAAGGGATCAAGGGTCTGGAGAACAAGCCCTATGAGGAGCGGCTTAAGGAGCTGGGCATGTTTAGCCTGAAGAAGAGAAGGCTGAGAGGAGACATGATGAGGGCCATGTATAAATATGTGAGAGGAAGCCACAGGGAGGAGGGAGCAGATCAGGGGTCTGGAGAACAAGCCCTATGAGGAGCGGCTTAAGGAGCTGGGCATGTTTAGCCTGAAGAAGAGAAGGCTGAGAGGAGATATGATGAGGGCCATGTATAAATATGTGAGAGGAAGCCACAGGGAGGAGGGAGCAGATCAGGGGTCTGGAGAACAAGCCCTATGAGGAGCGGCTGAAGGAGCTGGGCATGTTTAGCCTGAAGAAGAGAAGGCTGAGAGGAGACATGATGAGGCCATGGATAAATACGTGAGAGGAAGCCACAGGGAGGAGGGAGCAGATCAAGGGTCTGGAGAACAAGCCCTATGAGGAGTGGCTTAAGGAGCTGGGCAAGTTTAGCCTGAAGAAGAGAAGGCTGAGAGGAGACATGATGAGGGCCATGTATATATACGTGAGAGGAAGCCACAGGGAGGAGGGAGCAGATCAAGGGTCTGGAGAACAAGCCCTATGAGGAGCGGCTTAAGGAGCTGGGCATGTTTAGCCTGAAGAAGAGAAGGCTGAGAGGAGGCATGATGAGGGCCATGGATAAATATGTGAGAGGAAGCCACAGGGAGGAGGGAGCAGATCAGGGGTCTGGAGAACAAGCCCTATGAGGAGCGGCTTAAGGAGCTGGGCATGTTTAGCCTGAAGAAGAGAAGGCTGAGAGGAGACATGATGAGGGCCATGGATAAATACGTGAGAGGAAGCCACAGGGAGGAGGGAGCAGATCAGGGGTCTGGAGAACAAGCCCTATGAGGAGCGGCTTAAGAGCTGGGCATGTTTAGCCTGAAGAAGAGAAGGCTGAGAGGAGATATGATAGCCATGTATAAATATGTGAGAGGAAGCCACAGGGAGGAGGAGGGAGAAAGCTTGTTTTCTGCTTCCTTGGAGACTAGGACGCAATGGAACAATGGCTTCAAACTACAAGAGAGGAGATTCCATCTGAACATGAGGAAGAACTTGTGAGAACCGTTCAGAAGTGGAACTCTCTGCCTTCCCTGGAATGTGGTGGAGGCTCCTTCTTTGGAGGCTTTGAAGCAGAGGCTGGATGGCCATCTGTCAGGGGTGATTTGAATGCAATATTCCTGCTTCTTGGCAGAATGGGGTTGGACTGGATGATGGCCAACGAGGTCTCTCCCAACTCGAGGATTCTAGGATTCTAGGATTCTATCTTAGTTCATCTGGCAACCAAGAGAGCGACTTGAAATGTCATGGTGTCAGGAAGATATTCTTTGCCTTTTCTATAACAGGCGTTGACCGTATTGCGAAAAACCAGCTCAGGGATGGAGCCAAGTGTTGGATGCTCCACGGCAGGAGAAACGCCAATGGCGCCCATGTTAGCAAGGAATTGCTGCCGAGAGCTAACACTTTGCAATCGAACTCTGCTTCCTCTGCCAGAGAGAAAGAGAAACCAACACTGCCTCGTTTAATTAATGTCGCCATTTCGCCCATCGGCTTGGAAATAATGAACAGAATAAATAACACTGACCAACGCACATTTTGGGACCTCAAATGTTCACCCTCTTTCTGTGCATATTTGGAATGCATGCAAACTTTGGATGGATTTGGCCTGCTGATTCCAAAAAAATGGAAGTTTTCGAGATATGGGAAATATGCACCGGGATTGTGGCACAGCTGCATGAAGATCACTCTGACCAAAACGTCATGAGTTCGAAGCCAGCCCGGGTTGGAGTGGGTTTCCAACCAATTGTGTGTAGCCCGTTGTCGACCTTTGCAACCCGAAAGACAGTTGCATCTGTCAAGTAGGAAAATTAGGTACCACCTTAAAGTGTGGGGAGGCTAAATTAACTAATTTATGAGGCCATAAAGAAGACTCCAGCAAAGCATTCCAGCGGGGAAGCATGCGGGGAATGCGGAAGTGCTTCATCAGCGTCGCAGATGGACGAGGAAAGCGACAGCTCCCCTGGCGGCCAGAAAAAGGTTAAATAGCCTCTGTGTATGTCTGTATATGTTCATATGTCAATGATTTATGAGGCCATAAAGAAGACTCCAGCAAAGCATTCCAGCGGGGAAGCATGCGGGGAATGCGGAAGTGCTTCATCAGCATCGCAGATGGACGAGGAAAGCGACAGCTCCCCTGGCGGCCAGAAAAAGGTTAAATAGCCTCTGTGTATGTCTGTATATGTTCATATGTCAATGATTTATGAGGCCATAAAGAAGACTCCAGCAAAGCATTCCAGCGGGGAAGCATGCGGGGAATGCGGAAGTGCTTCATCAGCATCGCAGATGGACGAGGAAAGCGACAGCTCCCCTGGCGGCCAGAAAAAGGTTAAATAGCCTCTGTGTATGTCTGTATATGTTCATATGTCAATGATTTATGAGGCCATAAAGAAGACTCCAGCAAAGCATTCCAGCGGGGAAGCATGCGGGGAATGCGGAAGTGCTTCATCAGCATCGCAGATGGACGAGGAAAGCGACAGCTCCCCTGGCGGCCAGAAAAAGGTTAAATAGCCTCTGTGTATATCTGTATATGTTTGTATGTCAAAATTTTCATATATGTGTACACTGTAATCCGCCCTGAGTCCCCTGCAGTGTGAGGAGAAGGGCGGAATAGAAAAGCTGTCAATAAATAAATAACATAAATAAATAAAATATAGATATTTACTAGTTTGAGTACCTGGCGGTGCCCGGGTTATTTGAAAAAGGCATTGTTTGTTTCGGGTGTTAGGTAGTATCATTTAGTCAATTAGTAACACTATTTATTAGAAAAATGCCAGTTCTTGATTTGATTTTTTTTTATTAACGCCCCCATTCAAAAATGCATAAGGATGTGGGTGAACTACAATTCCCAGAATCATGGGAGGTGTTAGCTGGAACATTCGTGCTTGCCTCAAACAGACAAGTCTTTTTTCTCCCACCCTGACCTCACAACCTCCGAGGATGCCTGCCATAGATGTGGGTGAAAGGTCAGGAGAGAGTGCTTCTGGAACATAGCCATACATCCCAAAGAACTCACAGCAACCCAGATTTTCTAACTGTTGTGGCTTTGATGCACTACTTCTCATGTGACTGGATCTAGAAGCATCTGGGTGTTTGTTGGCTTAGAGAAAAGTTGCTAAGGGACTGACAAAAATGATAAATTTGGCAGGAAAATGGTGCCAATTCTGGGTAGAAGCGAATATCAATCAATGGAAGCATCTCCCGTCGCCAGGCATCCAGGCAATCTGCCGAGAAAAGCAATGCAAATCTTACCATCAATCCCGAGAGCGCCTTGTTGCCGGTTTTCTGGACAGGGTTCAAACTGATTGATAATCTCCAGGCAATGGTCCTTGGTGACGTCGCTCATCTGGAGACGGAGACACAAGCAAAGCGCCCATTCAACACGGCCATCCTTCCCTTAGTTGCATCCTTTCAAGCGATGGGCGCCCTCTCCCTCCCCTTCCCATTCACCCCGTGAGAGGCTCATTCCTACCAATCAAGGTCAGTTCTGATAGAATCAGGCTTTCCAATGTAAACACTAGATTCCCATTTACCATTTCCCATGGTGAGTCCAGCCAAATGCATGGATGGGGTTTACTACAAGTTTACTACATTCCCAAAATCCCCCAAGTGTTTGATAGCAGAGGGTGCATCTAGAATCATAGAATCATAGAATCATAGAATCAAAGAGTTAGAAGAGACCTCCTGGGCCATCCAGTCCAACCCCATTCTGCCAAGAAGCAGGAATATTGCATTCAAATCACCCCCGACAGATGGCCATCCAACCTCTGTTTAAAAGCTTCAGAGTTTCTCAACCTGGGGGTCGCGGCCCCTGGAGGGGTCGCGAGAGGGTTTCAGAGGGGTCGCCAAACACATTCAGAAAACATATATTTCTGATGGTCTTGGGAACCCCTTTTGCAGAGAAGGCTGAAAATCTTTCCGCCTGTCCTTCTCTTCCTTTTTGGAAACAGAAGGCAAGTCCTCCCACCAAAAGCCCTTCTGCACTCTGATTGACAGCCAAGGGGAGGGCTGTTTCTGAGACTCTAAGCGTGTTCGGCGCATAGCAGCGTGGTACGCATGTGTGGGTGAGGGATGACCCCAAATGCAGACTGTGCAAGGAAGCGGATGAAACCATGGACCATCTCCTCATCTGCTGCAAGAAAATCGCACAGACGGACTACAAACAGAGGCACAACTCTGTGGCCCAGATGATGCATGGATGGGGTTTACTATAGGTCCTTCAGTCCCAAAACCCCCCAAGTGTTTGATAGCACAGGGTTTCTCAACTGGGGGGGTCGCGACCCCTGAGGGGGTCATGAGAGGGTTTCAGAGGGGTCACCAAACACATTCAGAAAACATATATTTCTGATGGTCTTAGGAACCCCTTTATGCCTGTCCTTCTCTTCCTTTTTTGGAAACATATAGCAAATCCTCCAACCAAAAGCCCTCCTGCACTCTGATTGGCCGGCCTCTCAGCCAAGGGGAGGGCTGTTTCTGAGACTCCAAGCGTGAAGGGGAGGGCAGGCGTGCTCAGCGCATAGCAGTGTGGTGCACATGTGTGGGCGAGGGAGAGCGTGTGACGCTGGAGGGAGGCTTGCGCCCGCGAGTGCTTCAAGGCATGGGGGGTCTGGGTTGGAGGTTTGGCCCAATTCTATCATTGGTAGGGTTCTTTGATTGTAGGTGAACTATAAATCCCAGCAACTACAATTCCCAAATGTCAAGGTCTATTTTCCCCAGACTCCATCAGTATTCACATTTGGGCATATTGAATATTCATGCCAAGTTTGGTCCACATCCATCATTGATAGAGTCCACAGTGACTCAACATTGACACTGAAATACAACACCGCCTGAGCTCTGCGAGTACAGCATTTTTCCAAATGAAGCAGAGAGTGTTTGAGGACCGGGACATCCGTAGGGAGACCAAGGTGCTTGTTTATAAAGCTATTCCCCTCCCAACCCTGCTCTACGCCTGCGAGACGTGGACTGTCTACAGACGTCACATGCAACTCCTGGAACGATTCCATCAGCGCTGCCTCCGGAAAATCCTGCAAATCTCTTGGGAAGGCAAGCAGACAAATGTCAGCATGCTGGAAGAAGCAAAGACCACCAGCATTGAAGTGACGGTTCTCCACCATCAACTCTGCTGGACCGGCCACATTGTCCCAAAGCAGTTGCTCTCCTCCGAACTCAAGAACGGAAAATGTCTGTCTATCTATCCATTTTATACTAATGTATGCAATGCTTTTGATACGAAATATATAAATGACTCATCCATTGCTACACTCCCTTTGATTCCTGGGGGTTGGACTGGATGACCGTTGGGGTCTCCTCCAACTTTATGATTCTATATGATTCTGTGATTCTATTATCCTTGGAGGCTGGTTGGAAATGCAAAACCACAATGCTATCAGTAGATTTGCATAAGGACATTCTTAATTGTTTCTTTTGTTTTACACGGCATAAACTAAATCATGCATTCCCTGCAGAATAATCACAGGATGTCTTAAACCTACACCTGTTGATAAACGTAATGGTAGTGCATAGGGTACAGACCCACAATTAGTAAGAACATCAGCCCTGGCCTTGTCTTACTCAACCGCCAAGGATGCCTGCCCTGATTGGCATATGTCTGCCCATGCAAAGCAGATGAACATAGCATTGAACGAAACATGCGGAATAATCACAGGATGTCTTAAACCTACACCTGTTGATAAACGTAATGGTAGTGCATAGGGTGCAGACCCACAATTAGTAAGAACATCAGCCCTGGCCTTGTCTTACTCAACCGCCAAGGATGCCTGCCCTGATT